GTTTTCGTGGAATTGAAAAAAAAAAACGAATACAATTTTAACAAGCAGTATTTGAATTCAAAGTATTCGGTTTATTTTATTTTTATCAATGAAATTCTTTCCTGGGCCCTTTGTCGTCAGGTTCCGTGCAGTAATGAGATCAAATTTCGCCTCGGGTTATCTAAATTATTTCAAATAGAGCGGCAAAGCTGTCGATGAACTCTGAGTTTTATAAAAAAAATGAGCTTTTGGCGTAAATAGGGAACCATTTTTGCTCCTAAAAGCTCAGTGAGTCTGGACTTAATTTCCGTAATTTAACTTAACTTAATACTTTGGCTAACCTTTTATAAGAGAAACTGTGTTGGCGGTTATTTAAAACCGAACTTACCGAAGCAACTTAAGAACCTGTAGATTTTAGATTCTTAAGTTACGGCCTTACGGAAATTGAGAGCGGTGAGAGAATCAGGCTTGCCAGATTTTCCTTTTTGCATTTCTCAAAAATAAATGAACGCAAACCAATTTTTTTGCATAATTTTTTTTATGTGGCATTTTAGGCGGCAAACTTTTAAACAGCTGGAAAAGAAAACATAAAAACAAAATACTTCGGCTTCTGGCTTAAGTTGACATGTTGAGTAATCATTGATGATTTCGTATGGAAAGTTAAATTAAGTTTAGTCTAGACTAACTGAGCTTTAAGTATTAAGTATATTTTTGGATGGAAATTCGATTTTTTTTAACTTAGTTTTAAATTTTGTTTTGCGTTCTCCGTATTATTTTTAATTGTAGCGACTGTATAATCCATTTTTGAGGCATTATTATAACTACTATTACATACTTTTTTTTGTGGGGGAAAGACCCGAAATCATCAAAGGGATTATACCATTATAACTTATTATAATTTAAAAAGAAATTTCTTGCTGAATGTAGGTATCACCGCAAAATGTAGGCTCGGCGAACACCTGGCTACGCCCATGGCTGGCCCGTTATTTTGCATGGCTGAGAAATGTTTGCCTTCCTTTAATAATCATAAACACTGGGTGGTGGCCGGCCACTAGGGCATTTAACCTGCATAAATAAGCTAAACTTTTCAACCGAGTACTTATTTGCACAAATTCAACGAAACTAAAACTTTAATCCGTATAACTACACGCATCACTTTTTAAATCTTTCATTTGTTACAATCTAATGAATAGTCGGAATATTTGATTTGTCATTAATTAAAACTACATACTAAATACAACGTCGTTGACATGCTCCATAAAAACAAGCAAGCACGTAAAAACAAACACAAGCATGAGCGTAGCCAGGTGGGGGCAGGGGGGTGCTCGAGCCCCCCTCTAACTTTTAAATTTGCCTTATATATATATAAAATAGTACCCTGAAATGCCAGCTTAATAGGGTCGAGCCACCCCCTCCCTAAATTTTATTCTGGCTACGCCGATGAACACAAGCTGTAGCAAATTTGGCGATTCGTAGTGGGTGGCCGCATGAAAAATCAATCAACTGTGGCGCAACCGAAATGCGCGCCAATAAACCGAACAAAAATAAAACTATCAAACAAATCACATCGGCAAACGGAAACAAGCCAGAGAGCCGCAAACACACAATTAAACAAACAACTATGATTTGTGCAAAAAAAATCTGTGATTTTGATTTCTGCTTTCGTAGTTGCGCATCGAGTTAAAAACGAAAAAAAAATAAAAAAAATTGCAAGAAAAACTCTGCGCCATTTGATTGCATGCAAAATTTATTGCAGTAACAGCAGCAGCAGCAGCAGCGGCGTCGTCGATGAAAAGCTACACACCCACTCTGCAACCATCGCTGAAGTCATTTCCCCTCTTCGCAACGGCATAGACACGCCCAATACATAAAATGTGTTAAATATGTACATATTTACGCATACATGTGCGCTCTCTAAACTAACTGCAATTGTGTGTTTGTTGTCATTTATCTTGCTTTCTCGCTCACACTCATTGTGATTGGTTGTGATCGTAAACCAGTTTGGTGGAAATGGTTGCTATCGATGTGAGCGCTCACTCCCGTTGTTCACCGGCAAATGAGTGAGAGAGTGGGCAAGTGTTTATGTACATATGCATGCATATACAAATGTACCAGTCGCCAGTGCATGCCACACCATCTCAGTCACACCTGTGCTGTATAGGCGCTGATGTCTTTTATTCGTAGTCGCATAATGAACACACTTGAGCCCCAGCAGCAGGAGTGCACCGTTTCAATGGTCCTTATTTACCAAGATGGTAGCTTGTATTTTTCAGTGGAATTTTTTTTTTGCTTAGTTTATTTAGTGCTTCTACTTGCCTTCGGTAGTTTTAAAGTAGTCGAGTGCTTTATTTTTTTTTTTTTGGTTTTTTTGTTAATTTGTGTTTTGACTGTTGCTACCAAAGAATCGTCTTCATTTATTTCGTTGCTTAGATTTTGATATCTGACAGCTTTACAATGTCTGACAGCTGAATGTTACAGTATGTAGGTATGTAGTAGTCCATGGCTGCTGACTACACAGGAAAGGCGTGAAAAGCAAATGTTTACATACTCATATTTGCATTTATAACTCGTGCGAAAAAATTGCCAAAATCAGACTTCGTTATCCGATTTTTTTTGTATATAAAGAGTAATCGCATAACTTATTACTTAGGTTAGGTTGGGTGTGTTGGGCAGCTACTACGTGGCTTCGCAGAGGCCATTAAGGTCCATAGCGTTACCGCATAAACAACGACCACTTTTGACAGCTAATCACTACGTACCAGGAGCAATGTGGAAGAACATCGCAGTCCCCTTGTCAAACTGGAACAACTTGTTATACCCTACCTTACCTTGGCGGCGGCTACCAGATTAGGTAGAAAACCTGCACCCTGTAAACTCACCCGCAGTCTGCTAAGGGCAGGACACTTGCAGAGGATATGCTCCACTGTCCCTTCCTGCGTTCTGCATATTCTACAGATCTTATCGATAATCAGAGCCAGTTTATAGGCGTGCAATACCAGCAGGCAATGTCCAGTTAGAAAATCCACCAGTAGTCTGGCATCCTCCCTCTTGGGGCAAAGGAGAAACTTCGTGAGCTTCATGTCATACGCTCTGCACGTAAACCTAGACACCTTGCAGCCTTGCATTTTGTTCCACGCCTTCTGCGCTTTTCGGATCAAGGACAGCTGGAGTTCCCGTTTAATAGCTTGGAGGGAAATCGGCAACTCCTCGATCAGCATGGTTTCCGATAAAGCATCCTCTTTGGCCAGCCTGCAGCCTCTTCGTTGCCCGCAACGCCTATTGCTATGTAGCAAATTCAGAGCTGCTCTGCCACACTTCTATCGGAAGTGCTGTAGGATAGTAGCACCTTTATTGCAGCATATATATAGAGACTCACCCGCTTGTTTTCTTGAGTTCTGCTCAATACCTCCGCCACCCTCCTTATGGCCGGGAAAATGCTGCAATAGTTTGACAGCTTATAAGATTTGTTTAGGCCGAGCTCCGCGCATACGACTGCCGCCCTTACGCCCTTGGCCATCTTCGATCCGTTTGTATAGACATGAAATGGAATTTCTTATAACTTTAATCCACAAATACTTCCGGTGAAGGTTGCCAAGTTTTTTTTAACTGCATCGAAAATGCAAATTATAAAGGAATGAAAAAGGTCAATACTACGATAGAATTTACGACACAATCTACCAACGCGAGGAATTCACAACGTTTTTTTTTTTTTAATTCGGTCAACATTTCGGCTTTACCACTATTCGAAACGAAATTGACTTAATTAAATTGGGTACTAGGCTCTTTTATCTCCTCGAGACGAGTACGGCCTTAGCAAATGCGCAGCTGCGACAAGAAATATCAATCTCACGATGTTCGCCTCCACGTTACCAAATGATTAGGTAAAGTTACGTGCAACAAAGAGAAAGAAATAGCTAAAGGTGCCGTCTCATCCAAATCGCAGACAGAAAAACGCTAAGCTCAGGAGTGGATCGTCTAGTCCGTAAATCGTTGACGTTAAGCCCAACCAATGGGGGATCCAGAAAGCATGCAACTCCAGTGGGCTTTGTCCATATGGACAGAGGTGTTAGCTGAGTGGGGGCCCATGCAAAGAGATGTCTCGAGTCGTGCACTAGTTGGGCCCTTCTGCATCTAATCTGTTTAGGTACGAATTTAACCAGAGCGAAATTGGGCTATTGCGATGCGAGTCTCTCGAGGCTGATGAGTCGGCTGCTAGCTTTTAAATATATCTAATAGGTAAACAGTAGCGGGGAAAGCACACCGACCTGTGGGACCCCTGTTTAATCTTTATTGGCTTGCTAGTTTTGTCTCCAAAAATTATTGGCGAATATAAATCGCTAACCCTCTGGGAGAGAGGAAGCCTCCATGTCTTCTGGTAGCGTGAAATGGCTGTCAGAAGCAAACGCCTTTGACAGATCCAACGCTACTCCAACTGTTCTCTCACAGGGGCGGTTTCGGTTTAGGCCGCGAGTTACCTGAGTGTTTATGGCGTTAAATGCTATTGTTGTGCTGTACACTTTATGGAACCCATGCTGATGCCTCGCTGGGGTCAGGTGGTTCGTATTGCGTGGCAATGGCAAGGCCTCAAGAGTCTTCGCTATCGGGGATAGGAGGGTTATCGGCGGAGAAGACTCTCCCTTGTTGCCCGGTTTCCCCGATTTCAGCAGTGAGCTTTTTGGCTCGTTACTGATGGTTGCTCTTGACCGAGAAGAAGTAAAAAAACATAATGGTAGAGACACTGCCGTCTGTGTCCCCATTAGACAGAGGCCGATACTGATTTCAAGAATAAGCCGGACCTTTCGTCGTCGACCCGTGACCTAATTTGATGTGATTTTTTTCTCACATTATTAATTATCGACTTTCATGGGTGGATCAATACCCTATTTACCTCTTCTTTCTACGCCACTGATATATTTTTTTTAATTAATTGAGCTAGTAATAAAACTTAAACTTTAAAAATAAAATATTTTTTTTTTTGTTTAGCTAAAATCTTTATTTACATAAAATGTCTATTAATTTATAGTTTTACATGTGCTTAACTTCGTAAATATTTATGTTCATACGTATTGCCTAAAAAATCTTCACCTTATCTACAAATTCAATACAACGCGAAAAGTGTTTCAAATCACTTCAAAAACTCTCTCAATGATCAGTGAATTGAAAATGTCGCTTAGGCTAAAAAGGGGAATTAAATAAGGTTTCAATGAAACTTTATGCAATTTTCGAAAAATCTATGCAAATTTTCAACGGACATATGTATGTACCTACTATACATTTAATTTAGTAATCAACTAATTTATTGATATCTTTTTTTTTTTTATTAAGTTGTAACTCAATCAGCCCTTGTTGCAGGGCCCTAAGTAGCTAATTATTGGAGGCGCTAGACCAGAAAATAAATATATTCGTATGAAATTACATTTTCATAATAATATATGCTTTTAAGCCTAAAGTTATGCGTAAAATATAATTATTTTGGCATCTTTGAATTTTTATCGTGTTAAAAAATTTAGGTAATCAAGTTAAAGCTAAAGTGATGCTTAAAGATATCCCTCTAATTGCTTAGGTTATAAATAATTATTCAATATTTTCTGCGTATTTAAAAATTGATATCTAACAGCATTGATATATATTTGTGCTATTATTATTGAAAAAGGTCTATACTGCCATCAAAGTGGATTTTTTCTCTTTCTTTTGGAAGTTCAAGCTCAATTAATTTTGTATTCTTAGTCAAGGACACACAATTCCAAATTCAAATGTATAATAGACGCATAGCCTTTTCTTTCTAGAAGTTCAATAGGTTAAACAAAGTAATTACTCGCTAAAATTAAAGTCAACTACATAAATGACGCATAAAAAAATCTACTAAAAGTATACACCAAACGTAAGGATGCCCCTTTTAGCTAATGATTTCGCAGCGTCTCATTGATAACGCGCAGTATATCGATCTGCAGGTCGGTGAATGCCACTGGTGACATTTTTGCATTGCGTATTTTCATTGCAACTGCTTTGAAGAAGGCGCCCACCTCGTCATCGCCCACATTTTCAGTTCCTGCTGTTGAGTTAACAGCTGAGGTTGAGGTAGATGTAGCAGCTGCGGCAATTGAAGTAGCAGCAGCAGCAGCGCCACCAGCACTGCCGGCAGTACCACTCAGTGTGGTGGTAGTAGCTGTTGTTGGCGAATTATTTGCCATACTACTACTATTACTGCTGGTTATCGCCTGAATATTGATGCCATCCATGCTGAGTGAGGAGCCACTGACATTCATTAAAGCCGCTATGGCACAATTTCCACTCAAAATGTTAGCACTATTGTTGGTGGTTAAATTTGCGGTGCTGCCATTAACCAAGCTGTGTGCAAGAGTTTGTTGCTGCTGCAGTGGGGGTTTTATATCATTACTAAAGTCATGTTGCTGTTGCTGCTGATGCTGTTGTGGTTGCTGTTGTTGCTGCTGCTGATGTTGCATGATAGATTCATCGGCTGTGGTGAGTGTGGCAGTATGCGTGTCTCCACCAACTCCTAGTGACAGCAAATGTTGTTGCTGCTGCTGCTGTTGGTGGTGGAGTTGCTGCTGTTGATTGAGTTGCTGTTGTTGGTGGCTGTGTGGTGACTGAATGCGTAGCGTGGTTTGTGATGATATCTTTAACAACGACTGTTGTTGTTGTTGTTGCTGTTGCTGCGTTCTTGTTTGGTGATGTTGCAGCTGTTGTATTTGTTGCTGGTGCTGCTGTAATTGTTGTTGCAGCTGTTGTTGTTGTTGCAGCTGCTGCTGCTGCTGTAATGCTACAGCATTTTGTTGCTCACTATTATTCTCCTTTATATCTTTGAAATCATGCTCTTCCGTCTCTAGCTCATTGAGACATTCTTGTTGATTCGAATTTGTAGTCGCATTGCTTGTCGAATTCGGCGTGTAATCCGGAAAGTGTTGTTGCGATTTACGATCTTCATCATCATCGTCGGCATCCATGACATCGGCGTCATCATCATTGCCACCTGTATCGCTTGTATGGCCAATTATATAATGATCAATATCCATCTCATCATAACCGCTTACGCTGCTGCCACTAACAACACAAATATCATGCGCCGTTGAATGCAACTGATGTTGTTGCGTATGCGGACCTGATAGCGTTGGTAATGCTTGCTGTTCCAGTTCGTGTCCTACAACTGTCGCTTCAATTGGCGAACGCATGGGCGAACTGTCAATCATGTGGTCATCTATGTCTGTGTCTAGCTCGCTTTTGGGAAGTTGTACTACATTTTTGGCATCGAAGTCACTGCGAAGTGATTATTGTGTTATAAATTATACTATTTCTAATCTAAATAAAATTGATTTTACCACGCTTTATGTTTAATAAATTTCTGTAGAAAGTTAAGCGCATCGTAATGCTTCCAGCGTGGCAGTGAATCAGAATTTTCGCGATCTTTGAGTCGTTTATGTTCACGTATATATTGATCTCGCAGTGCCTTCCATTTCAAACGGCAGCGTCCGACTGTTAATTGGATATAAATTAAATATTTTAGGAATCTAAATAAAATTTGTACTAACCGATTTCCTCACCTGGCTTTTTCAACTTTCGTGCAATCTCGTCCCAAACTTCTAGCTTCATTTTTGCATTACGGTAATTTGGATGAAAATTATTATATAAAATATCTTCCTGTTGTATCATTCCAATCAAGTCTTTCTCGAAAAAACTTTCCATATTAAGAAAAGTGTGTATGGGATCATCATCCTCCTCGTCATTATGTGATTGGGTTTGATGCATTTGGCCTGCTGCTGCAGTTACGCTCTCGACCAATGCGCAAAGCATGTCATCAGCGCCCGAGTGTTGTTGTGAATGCTGCAGTAAATTGTTTTCATCCAAATCGCTGACGCTATGATGATTTGTTTGCATCGTACGAACATCTGTTGTACTCGTTGTTGCGCTTGTGGTAAGATAATTCCAACTACCACCGTGTTGCTGCATTACTGAATTTAGCTGTTCATCTGTGAGAGATGTTAGCAAACGTGTAGCTGTGACGTCATGTTTATCATCTGTATCCAAAACATTTGCATCGGTAGTGAAATTGCAACTTGTCAATTGACCATTTTCGATTTTAATACTCGGCAGCTTGGTGCAATTGTTGTTACTACTAGCGTTAGACAACGTTATATTATCGGTTTTGGTAATTATGGTGTTGGCGCGCGGCCGATAGCTAAACGAACAAATAATTTAATTTACGTTTACTAATAAGCCTACCTACTTGCTGACTTACATGCATTTTGTATAAATAACTTAGTATAATCTGCTTTTAGGTATCGTATGAAATATTAGCACTTACTTTCTCGACAACGCAAACGGCCGCAAGAATTCCAACTCTTTAAAGTACTTCCATTTAACATTGGCTTTGGTATTAAACTTGCTACGTTTCAGCTCGCGACAGTATTGATCACGCATAGCTTTCCACTTCGATTTACACTGAGCCTCTGCAAATTGTATGTACAAATAATAAATAATTTTCGTTGCTAAATTTACTATTTTTTCTTCACTTACCTGACCAACCAACAGTTTCTGCAATTTCCAACCATTTAGCATCCTTGCGATGCGTATTTCGGTAGTATTCGTGCTTGGGATTATACAGTGCCTGCTCTTGTGATACCAACGATATGAGCATAACCTCTTTGGGTATTGAAACGATATCCTCATGTAATTCGTGTGCCAAATCCGACATATCACCAATATTTACGATGTGATGTTGCTGATTTATATGATGTCTTTGGTGTTCCAAAGTGGGAGACTGTCCATCCAGCTGGACCTGCACATGCATTGTTGTAGTGCTACCTGTTTCCGTCAATGTAAGGGTCTCCATATTTGCACAAAATATCTATTTGCATGCACCACTCCACTAACTGCACATTCAACTTATTTATTAGTTCAAATATTATTTAGCCATGGGATATATAATGGTTAAAAGTTATATTTGGGCTAAATAGGACCAGAAAAACAAATTTTCCACTTTTTTTTAAGAATAAAACGAAATGTCAAAAGCTGCTAAACGTCAATTCATTGGAATTCACTGGAATGAACTACCGGAAGTCATTGGAATGCATTAACGAAGTACAGGGTGAGTTAAAAACTTTTTTTTTTGTCAAATTTAGGGGTGGCTAGTGCTGCCAGATGATTTATTTGTTAGAAAAAAATAGTTCAAGCAAAGAACGTAAATTTACGATCTTTGGTTCAAGCAAGTACCGTAAATATAAAAAAACGATAACAAAGATAGTAAATTTACTTTCTCTACGATTATTTTTTTTATTAATTTTTACGTACTTTTAAGTCGCAAGACTAACAAATAAATAAATGAAATAAAAAGGGAGTTTATGGTTTTCAAAACTGCTATTCAGCTAAAACGGGATATATTTAAAAAAATTTTTAAACGGCAGTTGGTTATCAAATCTAATCTGCATTGCTAGATATCCACGAAAGATGGCTCCACATTTATCGCGTCCCAGTAAAATTGGAAAATTGGGAAGAATGGCATAACTCTTAAAAACAAAACAAAAAAAATGTTTAAGGGTTATAAATACCCGTTATGGTTTCTATCCTCTTCACACTTTGCCCCGTATAAAACTACAGCGTACTTTAACTCATTTCTTGCGAAAATGTCCGACTGGAAATCCGGCCAATCAAACATTTGCTCTTTCGCGCAATTCTTTATTGGCCATGAAAACTGCAATTAAGAGAGTTACAAGAGTAATTACGATGAGAACTTTCACTTTCAATACACGCATGCACTCTCGCTTTTGAGTGCTCACTAAAATTTCAATCCAATTAACTAATTGCATTAATGTTTTTGTTTTTATAACGGCACAACATCATAACAGTGAAAATTTTTCAAAATATTTTTGTAGTTCAGTTTGCATGCAGACGTTGGCTTTGAAACGGCAGTAGCGGGCATATACTTAACGGTTGTTGACGAGTGTTCAGTGCATACACATTGCTTTGTACAAAGTATATTTAAAATATACATAATACAAATAAATAATAGAAGTTAAAAACATATTGGTTGCCTTAAAAACGATAAAAAGTAAAAACTCCCTCCGCCAAAATGCCAAAAATCGATCCGGAAACACAAAAATTGCATGATGAGATAAATGGAATGATTCAAAAATTCAAGGTGCCGCCTAAAAATATGCAAAATAAAAAATGTATTGCTTTTGATAAAGTTTTAAGTTCGTAAATACAAAAGATGCGAAAGTACTTAGTTGCTACACCATTTCATTAACTTAACAAAAAAAAAAAACAACATTTCAATAAAAGTTAAAAGTGTGCTAATTAAATTAATTTTTCTCTCAACCAACATTCAGGATGACCAAAAAGCCAAAGCCGACTGTACATTGCAGGAAAAATGCGGCGATATGGGTGACGTGCCCAAACTGCGTCTCGCCTCGAAAAAGATTTTAAAGGGCCACATAAACAAAGTCAACTCTGTGCACTTTGCTGGTGATTCAAGGCATTGCGTTACTGGCTCACTGGATGGCAAACTCATCATTTGGGACACATGGACGGCCAACAAAGTGCAGGTGCGTATATTGATTTCACAAGTTGCTTACATACATACATACATATTCAAACATTGTAAAGTAATCGATTTATTGGTTTTATGTTTTTTTTTTACTAGGTTATACCGTTGCGTTCGGCTTGGGTTATGACAGTTGCTTTCTCACCATCGGGCAACTTCGTAGCCTGTGGTGGTATGGATAATCAATGCACGATTTACGACGTTAATAATCGCGATGCTTCGGGCGTGGCCAAGATGACTCGAGAACTTTTGGGCTATGAAGGCTTTCTAAGTTCGTGTCGTTTTCTAGACGATGGACATCTAATTACTGGCTCGGGTGACATGAAAATGTAAGCTGAATGCTGAAATACATCAAAATAATAAATTATTTTCAAATGTATACGTATGCGACTTACTTGCAGTTGCCACTGGGATCTGGAAAAAGGCGTGAAAACAATGGATTTCAATGGGCATGCTGGTGATATTGCTGGCTTAAGTCTTTCGCCTGACATGAACACGTACATAACAGGCTCAGTGGACAAGACAGCCAAACTGTGGGATGTGCGCGAGGATTCATACAAACAAATGTTCTTCGGGCATGAAATGGATGTCAATTCCGTATGCGTAAGTGGAACTTTATATATAAAAAAAAAAAACAATACGACTGTATTTAATATATATTCTGTTATAAAATTCTACTCTCATGTATTGACTCTAGTACCATCCCAGTGGTCAGGGTTTCGCTTCTTGTTCAGAGGATCAGACAGCGCGCCTATACGATATTCGTTCAGACCAGCAAATTGCCTTATATGAGCCGCCGCAGAAAAATACAGGCTTCACTTCTTGTGGTAAATGAAACATTATAGTTGGTCCCCAAACCACAACAAGAATTTCTATAATTATACTTTTCTTTTTCTACAGCGCTATCCACCAGTGGCCGCTATCTTATGTGCTCAGGTATTGAGGGCAACATTCACGCTTGGGATACCGTTAAAGTCACACATAATGGTAAGTTCATACATTAGAAAAAAAAATCAATGCGCTTAACTTCTACCCTCATTTATTTTCAGCCATGTTGCAAGGCCACGAAAATCGCATTACATGCATTGGTCTCTCGCCGAATGGTATGTGCTTGGCCTCTACTAGCTGGGATCAACAAGTGCGCCTTTGGTTGTAAACTCAGTCTTTTAGCGAAATTTATACTCAAGCGGAATATGTTCATAATAAGCAGGCGTGTGCAAATTTTTAAAATAAAATAATTATGTAAATGCTCAGTTAATAACTAAAGTTTAAAATACATAAATACGCTACAAAACGCGCTTTTATCATGCTACATATTTTTGTCGTTTTTTATTAATATATTTATGTATATATAAGGTTTTAACTTAATCCCATATTTATTTAAATATTTCGTATAAATACAATAAAACTGAAATGCATGGATACATATTTAAAAAAAATTGCACGCTATAGCTAAAAACCAACCATGAATACCCCCATTGAATTTAATACCTTTTTTATCCAATTAGTACATGGCCATCAGCTGCTTCAAGTTATGGTTGTAGTGTTGGTTCGTCCAGTCATTTTCTGGATTATCTAAATGGTTATCAAAGTCTACTATCTCACGCATAGCGCCACGCTGTAACAATTCTGATACTGTTTGTAAAGTGGCTTTTGACTGCGATAGTGAGAAGTTAGCCTTGTTCCAACGCCCTGTCTCACCACTACTGCTGAACACCTTTAGCGCTGCTTGTGTTTGGTTTAGTCTCATGAGCTTATTATCTACGACTACGAAGCAAGCATTTTTATTGTTTTCAAGTATTTTTTCTGCTATTTTGGCAGCGGGCGCCTTTTCTACACTGCTGTCGTAGAAATTCTCTGGTGCCACATAGTAGCCGGCCAACAGCAAATTCTCGCGTTCGGCATAGGCGTCAACCTTTAAAATGTTTATTAACTAAAATGAAAAGCACACTTAAAAGGGGGAAAATGAGTACATACCTGTGTAAGCGCTATCTCTGCCATAGGTGTAACGTAGAGACACTGATGGAAAAGTGGTATCGCATCCACTATCTGGACTGTATTGCCTTTGGGTGCTTTTTCGCTCAACAGCACGCCGTTCACGGCCAAGTGTGGATATTTGGCGGCATGGAAAATTATTTTGGCATAAGCACGTTCGTTGAATTGATATTCTGTCATTTTGGCAGCACGCAGCGTTTGTATTTCTTTCAAGAATATTAAAATACAAGAAGGACTTCCGAAAAAAACACGTACTCTAATTAATAAAGTTCTAATCAGCTAATGAAATAAATTAATGCTGTCAAAACGTGACAGCTGTCACGCGAATGCGTTCGGGAATGAAGGTAATAGAAATTAGCCATTGTGAACAGTGTTGCCGCGATTCTTTTTGGCCGTAGCGAAATTTCTTTAAAAAAGGGCTAGAAAAGGCGTTGAGGCTAAAAATGGGAGCTCAAATTTTTCACTTACGTATACATATATGTATATGTATACACGCAAACATTTTCAATAAGTAATGGTATAGAATAACAATGGACTCTGGAAAAAAAGCTAATATTTTATCCAACCAAAAACATTTTTGTACATAAGGGGAAATATACGAACCCAGCTTGCTGGCTCCATCAAGTGATTGTACTATCAGGCTCGAAGCATATAACTTACCAGCATGCTGGTACAATCAGCCTTATTGCCAACTCCATGTGAAAAAATCGTTCCCATAATTCAACATGCAACATGTTTTCCTTTATAATTTTTGGGAAAATTTGTTCACATGAAATTCGCGATAGGGCTTAATATTTATTTCTTTACAAATGAGGTCGAGGAAGGATCGAAACTGGCATATCTTATCTTCATATATCTTTGAATGAAGATATTCAACAATGATTGAAAAGCAAACGAAAATAATATGAGCCAAATAATTTTATATAGCTAGAAATCTCATAATGAGACGCAAAATCCCACGCGTCCTTTTGTGATACGAAAATATCAAATTATGGACGAAATCCCAAAACTTGGCAACAGTGATTGTGAATGCCAATAGAAAGAGTTGCCGGAAAATCGAGTTTATAAAATGGGAAAATTTGATAAAAATTTAATTTTAATCATTTTGGCAGTCAAAGAGACCTGTTCATGTCAGCTTAAAATATTTAGAGTAATTTTTAAGTTTATTTGTGAAGAAATTCATAAAATTAGCAATATTTTTCAAGCCATTTTAACAAGCGACTTTTAGGCTTGTTCAAGCGCAAGTGCAACTCTGCGCTTCGGTTAGTTTCCGCCGCCATTTGTGAAACTGAGCGTCTATTTCCTTCCTGGTGGTTAAAAAAATAGTGAGAAATGTGAAGCTCTTGTAAAATAATGCAGCAAATATAGGGATTAGTGTTCAAAGTTATAGAAGTGAGTGTTTTCTTCCCGAAGTATATAGAATAAATGCATAGGCTTCAAATATGAGTGCAAATTTCACAACTGTTTTAGTGAAGTGAGTGAACTTTGCTGGCCAAGAGAGCAGAGATTGTAAAAATGCCTGAAATTGTGACGAAGGTAAAAAATCTGCCAACAAATTAACAAATCATCGATATTATGAGTGTGGTAAGCTATTTAAAAAGACATAATAAAAATAAATCAGTATTATCGTTGTTTAGTAACTCAGTTGCTGAACGCATAGCCTCAGCGAGAAATGTTGACGGCGTGCTGCATTGCTTTCCCCTCTAGATTAATTCAGTTGGTTTCAGTCGTTCCAAGAAGCCTTCCTGAGCTTCTTTAGTTCATAAAATCGCACTTCTTTATGGTATTTGTTTAAAGTTCATATAAAATGTCGTTTATTGCATTTGTAGAGCTACATGCATCATATAAACTTATACATTCGCTTAAATTGTAAATAGGAAAAGCCCTTCTATGTAGAAAGCAAACAGGGAAACACTTTTTGAAGTGAAACTTCTTTAGCGGCGGTTGGTTGGTCGGGAGGAAATTGGCAAATTCAGCGGAAATTGCACACCGAAATGGTGCAACGACAATGATGCAACGGAAATCGTTGGGATGGAAACAACTGCTTCTTGAATGTACATATGTTATACATTTAACAAAAACTTGATAATAAAAGGTTAAAGAATAACACTTAGAAAAAGACCAATACAAGAATGAAAGTAAAGGTGAGTACGTACATAGATAAACAAAAGGATACAGGCAATAGTAAAAATAAAAACAAAAACAAAAATGCGTAAAGATAAAGGCAAAAATGAAGACCAAGGTAAATTTAAACACTTATATAAGGGCCAATTTGAAGGGGAATATGTAGATGAAGAAAATTATAAACGTAAAAGTAAAAACAAAGATAAATATAAAGAAAAAGGTGAGGATGAGGATACCGATAAAAGTAAAGATGAAGATACATTTTGGGATTCTCGGGACTTATCGATATAATAATTGATATTTTTATCGGTTGTGTTATCCATTTTGTTATTGATATTTTTATTGATTTTCTAATCGATTTTTGTTATTGATTTTGTATCGATTTTGTTCCCGATATTTTTATCGGTTTTTTAATCGATTTTGCTCCCAATAATATAGATTTTGCTACCGAATTTTTTTATCGATTTTGTTATCGATATTTTATCGATTTCGCTTTATAGATTTTGTTACCGATTATTTATCGATTTTGTTATCGATAGTTTTATCGATTTCGTTATCGATATTTTAATCGATTTTGTTATCGAAATTTTTATCGATTTTCTATTATTATTGATTTTGCTATCGAAATTTTTATCGAATTTGTCTTCGATTATGTTATCGATATTTTTATCGATATTTTGCTGGATGTTTCTATCGATTTTGTTATCGATAGAGTATAAAGGTAAACATGAAGATAAAGGAAAACAGAATAACAAATGTAATTAAAACGAACATTGTAACGTAAGTTTTTTTCTTCACCAAAGTGGCCTAGGCGCACTTTCTTTTTTTTCAAACCTTGGGTAAGCTTTTTAGCAAGGCTTAACTTAAGAAGGCCTACCCAAAATTGCCTTTGGGTCGCTGTAGGTGTACATTTGACAAAAGTACATTTACGCGCATGAAGCTAATCAAAAAATAATATTGTCAAATAAAATTGAGCGAATTCTCTGGAATTCTGCTGGGGTTTAACTCTTTGCGCTAGAAGGATGCGAATTAAACTCGCTGATAGAGGAAAATGACTTTAGGGCTTCTTAAAATCTGGTCAACTACTTTCTTTCAAATATTCCTTCTTCATTTTTGTTTCTATTTTGCGATATATACATCTATTGGACATGATAAAAACATAGCAAGGTAGAACCGTTCTCTCAATTTGTCGGCCATGACAAACATTTTAAAATCATATAAAAGTGAAAATAACAAATAAAAATTGTTCGAAATTGTTGTTGCTTGAGATTGAAAATGAAAATGTGTGTGTGAGTTTGTGAGTAAATTTAAAAATTAAATTGTTTGGAAACGTCAAGAATTTCAAAAGTGACTCTCAGCGGTTCTACCTTACTATATTTTTATCATGCTATTGGATGTGTTTGGGTTGAGTAGGTACAGTATCCGGACTTTAGTAGCGCCAGAGCTACGTGGGTCTCTCGATGCAGCTGAAGGTTTTCATCTGCTATGGGTGCTGATTGAACTCTGACAACTTTATTCGCGAAGCTATTGCTTCTGTCTCGGTAAATGTCGCTTATGTCTTGTCTTTTAGATCGCCGAGCCCTAGTAAGTCATCGTTTGCTAACTGGCATCGCCTAAAAATGGATGAGGAGGTAGATATTTCATTATGCTAAACATGGTTTCATAGACATCAAACTTGCTCCGTCCTCAAGTAGTAATAAAAACATTAGAATTTCAATTTGTTTAGGAATTTTATTTTATTTTTCATATTTTTTAAACAATTAAATTTTCTTTGAGAAAAAATTTATTTTTTTCTGTATTCCTTAGTTAAAAATACTAACATAATTTAAAACGAATATAAACTGTTGTGATATATTTGGCGCTTTTCTTGAAGGGAAGAAAAAGAAGAGATGTAAAGGGGAAAATAGTGCGCAGAAAAGAATTTAAGTTGAGTGTTGAGTGAAGTAAAGAAAGATTTGAAATAAAAAGGAAAAGATGTATATCACTTTGTACAGAAAATTGTATACACTAGACTAATAGACAGGATAGTTTTCAATAAAACGAAGGTGAAGGCAAGAAAATAAAGTAATATGTAAAAAGGACAAAACGAGAGAAAAGAGAGAGATAAATAAATAAAAGAAGATGGGAGGAGCACGGGAAATAAAAAGTTTGAAAGATAGTTTGGATATAGAGACTTTAAAAGTAGTGTGTGACTTTAAAAGGCTTAAGCTTCATTAGTAAAATAAGTTGGAATATGAAGCTTGGAATGAACTAGAAGAATAGTGTATAGATGAGGTAAGGAATAGGCTTAAAAATACATAAAGATCAGGGAAACGAAGATTAAGCTTCTGTGTGCGAAGCAAGAAGTAAACGAGAGAGGAAGAAGTAGAGAGGGAGAATGACAGAGAGCGGGAGATTGAGATTTAGAGAAAGAAAAATTGAGAGGAAGATTGAAATTGAGAGAGGGAGAGAGAGAAACAAGTAGAGAGAGGGCGAATTTCAGAGAGATGGAGACTTAGAGAGAGGGTGAGGGAGGGAGTGAGAGAAAACTGATGGCGAGAGTGCAGGTAGTGCGAGAAAACGGAAACAATGGTAGAAAAGCTTGTAGTTGAGGCTAGGTACAGAACTGAGTTTATAAAATAGACTTAAACTTTCATGGAAATGAAAAATGTTTAGTATAAAGTTAATAGAAACACAGACTAAACTCTTGCGTGAGAAGGCAAGAAGTAAACGAGTATGTGAGAGAGAGAAAAAGATTGAGTATTTTCCACGGTAACATTGCTTCGCTTTACATTTTGAAGAAATTATTACATTTTTTTAATTTAGTTGTTTTGTTTTGTTTAATAGATCAGACTCTCGGTGGAACTACTACGAGTTGCAACTGTTTACAAATAAAATAATAAAGTAGAATTTGTAAAACTCCTTCCAAGCTTATGTATAAATTACTAATTTTTCCTTTTTTTCGGCTTTAAACTTTTCATTTTGTGTGCGTGTGTGTGTGTGTTTGGATGCGTAAGGGTGTGTGTGTGTGTGTTCTTTTCTAATCTACTAATGAACTTAAACTGAGAAACCATCGCCTGTGGGATCCAAGATCCATGGATAGTTGTTAGGGCACTCCATGCAGGTGAAGAGACGCAGAGTCTCACCGGGCAGTTCTCTCGTCGTCAGTGGACACGCGTTAGGCAACGAACAGTAGGGCTGACCCTTAACGTCGCACTTCTCCTTCCATTCCTGGAAATCACGCAACGAATTGAGCTCAGTTGGATTCTGCATCCATTGGATAACTTGCAGATTTGTCACGAAGAAAACATCATTGCGAGTAAGCATCTCTTCGATGAACTTGATAAGCTCATCGCGATACTCCTTCTTGGACTTCAGCCATGAAGCGTGGAAGTGTAGACCCAATGGAGCACGGTTGCTATTGTAGTGACGATTGAAATTGTGACGCAGAAGACGTGCGAATTGCTCACCCGAAGCGACGTTTGAGCACGAATCCACCATATGACAACCGGGCAGTGATTCATCAAAGGTTGGATCATCACGACGATCCAACTCATTCATGACCATTTCCCACACTGGATGGCTACGCGATGGACAATTATGCGCATTACCGTTACACTTGTGTGGCATGCGGAAGTACAATGTGTATGGCCAGATGGGAACACGACCCAACGAAGCGGTGATCGAAGCATCGTACACGAAGAATTGATCGGCCATCATTTCGAATTGCTTATTGCCACCAACACGCAAGTATGGCGCCCGCATGCCAATGATTGAACCATCAGTAATATTCGCAAAACGTTCGATAATAAGACGAGCGCCAGCCATTTCAGCTAGCCAATCATCATAAGAGCCGCCACTCCAGTAGTTTGGATCATCTTTGTGTGTGAGCGAGAAAACTGAGATCTCATGACCGCGGCGATGCAAGTCTTGCACAGCGGAGTAATTTGTGTACTTGTGTGAAACGAAGAAGGTGCCCTTGATTGAGCAGCCGTTCGGGTTCTGACGTTGACCATTAAAGATGTCGTCGTACAAGTCAATATTATCGACATTAACAGCACCATTGAAGGTGATGGTGATCATCTGTGGCACCTGTACGGGCTCAATGGCGCCGGGGATGCGTGTACCGTCGGCGGAGCAGAAGCAATCGGGCAGCGCGCACTGTGTAGGATCGCATTCGGGTGCGCGATTTGGATCATCATCGACGGCTGAAAAGGGCGAACGGGAGGGGTGGGGGTTTAGTGGCTTCGTAGTCGAATAAATGAATATGGAAGCTATGTGGTGGGGAATTATACTCACAGCAGGCATTTTCGTCGGATTCATCCTTGCAGTCAGGCTTGCCGTTACAGAACAGCTCTTTGTCGAGACATTCACCATCACCGCAGGACAGTTTACCCTCTGGACAGATAGGTTCATCAGTCTTCAAAATAGGTTTAACCTTGCGTGGCTCTATATTGATTCGAAAGAGATGAGTTATTAGTAATTTAGGCTTATGGAATCGAGTTTAGAAACTTAAACGCCCAATTAGGTGTCTCGTAGTCGAGCAAAGAATGCGTTTAGATAATTGTGGTTTAACTTTAGGCACCTAATGTAAGCTTAAACGCATTCGAAAATACGCATATATATATGTAAGTAGAATTCTCTTTTTAAGACTCAGTGCATGCTACATGCGATCGCTCGACTACGAGATGCGTAACAGGGCTGCATGCATATTTAGAATTCCCAAAAACTTAAATAAATAATCTTACAAGAAACGTATGCAGATTGTAGAGTTAGTTGATATAGTAGATTCAAGTTAGCAGAAAACAATGTGTAATCCGAAAGTTTTGTTAGTCATTTAATGTGTAACACCACCAAAACCAAAGTTCCAAAATTTTGACAAAAACCGCTTTTGTGCAAAAAAATTTAAACTTATTTTTTTTTTTTTAGATTTTTGGAATAAACGCAGACAGCTTAATGTGAGTGAGTTTCGGCAGTGGGTGTGTTCTCAACCGAACGCTCGCTAAACTAGCTACTTGAGTACATAGTAAGTGTACAGTGAGTGCAAATAATATGTCTACACTCTACACATTTATTACATATTATGTTTTAGCAAAATTTGCAGTTATTTACTTTTGTTGTATTACAATATCAGACACTTACTTTCTTTCTCATCGCAGTTAGTTACTTTTGCTTTCCAGTCACAGGTTTGTTTTAAAATATCGAACGCCAAGCCGGAGGGGCATTGAATTTCTTTCAAACCCGATTTTGTACATCTATGGGAACACAAAAAGATTGCAAAATGTGTCTGTTGTTAGGTCTTTGTGTAAACGTTGAATTTTGAAAGCAATTATTTTATAATAAATATTTTGAATAAAAAAAAGCATAAGTAACAAAAGTCCTTATACAAAAAGAAAAAGAAAAATCACAGGGTTCGTTGAATCACATAAAAATACGCAGAACTTTGGTTTTTCCACAGAATTTCATTTTTCGTTATTGTAAATACAAGTATATGCTAAGTACAGTTGAAGAAAGTATATACGAAAAGTATTCGTACACTTGGAAAATAAAGACATACAATTTTGTTAGTTACATGTAAGGAGAAACCACGAAAAACAATTAAAAACGAAACATATATCAAAAAACATAGGCGGTACTCACTTTCCATAGCATTTTACGTGTAAAGTTGCTACGTAGCAATCTAGCACACATTTTGTTCTCGGAAGCGCAACAAAACACGTGGTAGATTGCTGCATATTAACGTTACACCTAAAATGCTACTCAATGTGAGTTCCCCTATAGTAAAGACAGTGAACAACATGAAACCACAGACGAAAATTTACAAATTTCAGTTATGACAGTTGAACTGACAGTTAGAAGAGTGCAACAGTATGGCAGAAGCACTAGTTGGAAATTAGGAGGAAGATAAGACAAAGAGCTTTACCAATAAAATAAATAGAGTTGACCACCATTTTTGACAGCTAACGCAAGTTTATGATATTTTTGACATAAGGAAATCAATTTTGGCATTTGGTAGTCAAAGGACTTTACCAATCAATTAAATAAATCGTAATTTTAATATTTTTTGTTTTCTAATGATTTTTGACAGCTGTCAAATAGCTTGAATGTCTTAAGTAGAATATAAATTTGCAGACTTTTTCCAACAATATGTTTTTTTTTTAAATGGTGAAGCACAAGATAGAAAGAAATTTTGGGGCACATAGGATGTAATGTACGAATAGATAATACAAAACGTACGAAAAAAGGCTTACTAAACATGTTAGCATGTAGTGTATGTATGTACGCATGTATGTATGTATATAAGTATGTTTATGTAAATTTAATTTTTTGTTTTCTTTTAAATTTGTACACTTTTTGCGTGCAGTGTTTACTAATTATGTATGTAGTAATTTTTACATGTATGGAAACTGAGCACAAGACGAACAGTACTAAACATAGCAACCCACAAACAACAACACACTGAACATTTACGCCAGCCCATAAACGATCGACTTACTCTCAGCTTGATCACAATTCTTGACATTCGATTTCCAATCGCATGTCTGCCCTGTGATATCGAACGCGAGGCCGCCAGCGCATTTTATATTGGCTAGGCGCGTTCTGCCATTTTCACCGGCACTGTCACATCTTCAATTGGGCAAAGAAAATGTTCAGAATTAATTTGGTTAGAAAAAGAAACGAGAAAAACAAATAAGGCAAGAAAATGCTATGAAACTAATAAATCCTAGACAGCTAATAATAAAATTTTCTCTGATCAGGAAGAAGTTTCTGCCTATTTGGCGTATTAAAATTTCTTGTTTAGGACTTTTAAAATTTTAATTCTATTATTTCGATTTTATTTTTGACAAATTGGTATTAATTTTGTAGTGATTTTAGAAAATTTCCAACATACCTGTACACTTCACGGCAATCGCTTTCGGTATCCAAACGGAAATACTCGTCTGCGGGTCTGTCGGCGCACGCTTCTTCAACATCAATGCCCTCGAGCTTGTCTCTGGAATCCTGGCATGTCGCTGTAGAATGAAAAAATTAGAAGTGAAAAATTTTGTAAAAGGATGTTTAAAAAAAAATAGTGGTCACAAAATTTAGGAAATAAAAATTTCGCTGCTTGAGTTAATTCAGAAATAAAATTAATTGATTCTTACGTCAGAATCCTTTAGAACCAATTTCCGACATATCCTTTGAAATTTGAAATCAAATTTTGCGGCCTGCAGTGCCATCCTTGTTCCTTTATTTAGCTATGGCTTTTCTTCAATCCAAATTGTGCAAGGGATGACGGAAAATCATTCCACAATACAAAATATGAAGCACCAGAGTCACTTAATGAATAATTCTAGTCTCTATCCCGATTTACCGGAAGAATAACATTCAGGGGCTTTCTATGCCTTTCAGATAGCTGTTCTTACTCATCCGCCACGGAACTATGAATTGTAATATGTTTATAAAGATATGGACTGCAACTAGATTAGCTTTTTCTTATTTAGGTATTGAAGTCGAAGGAATAAATATTTGAGTTTGGGACAGTGAGAATCGAGAGAAAAGACATTAAAAGCTATTTATGAGCTCTAGAATCGCTCTAGAAAAGCGGTGATCCCTAATATATACGCCTATAGTTGACAAAATATGAGTTCCTAATTTCAGAAAGTCCTAACCAAGAGCTTTGTACTCTCGTATTTCATGCAACGAATATGATTGGCAGTGCCTTCAACTAGCATCTAAATAAAAATATTTCGTAAGCTAGTCGAGAGATTTATGTGTTCTTAGTATAACCGGAGTAGGCGAACAATATAAGCAATAAAAGTACAAGTTGTTCAAGCCATTATATTGCATACTTTTAGGAGTGCTATTTGACATCTGAATAACATGCATTACAGTGCAATTGGAATCTTCGGCACAGGGAGTACACATACGGGTTTCCTGCGATCGATTTTGCACTTTGATTTAATTTTCTATAACAACAAGGCTAGGGGTTGGTGTTAGCCCCGTACACACATTTGCACAAAAAATGTTTTGCACTTATCTACAAATGTACTAGTTAAATATTTTATAACCAAAAGAAATTGAAAGGAAAAATGAGCCATTGCAGGCTGGTAATAGGTTGGTTAGAGAGATGAAAACATGAAATAATAGACAAAGGCCAAATTAATGCCATTTAACCGGTTACGACATTACTACACACTTATATAAGTACATTTGCACATACATACATATGTATGCATGTAAATGGCCATAAAAAGTAAAAGTTATGCGGCAGCGGCTGCTGTCGGCTGGCGAAGCGCGTTGCTAAAGCTCAGCTCAACACCGCCTGGGCAGTCATAGTGCTGCCACCAATAAAGTTTGTTAACGCAAAAAAAATCAACAAACTCGTTTCATAGATTATGAGCAGATTGCATAAAAACGGTTATCAAATGGAATACGCGGAGAAGAAAAGAGTATAAACAATTTGAAGTGCTCTTGTACAACACTTTGATTTTTTGTGTGGATAAAAAAATTCAGACGAACGTTTTTTTTTTAGTTTTTTTTTTGGCACGGGTATACATATATTTAGTTGTTTTTTTTTGTTTGAGTTGGCATCATCCATTGTTTAAGCAAATATTGATTATTGGAGTAAGAAATTTTAATTATCAGATGGATTAGCAAACAAAGTGAGGCCTAATTGGCTTCAAAAGTATGTTAGCAGTTTTAATGAATGTGTGCTTTCTTATAGGCGCATATATATGTACATACATCGTTTGTATGTCTACAAAGTATAATATATATTAATATAAATATAGGGTGATTCAAGGCTGATGCAGATTTTTGACTGCAATTCTTGGTGATATGTTAATGTTTTTTTTATTCTTATTTATCAAGAAATTGGTAATACTGGCTTTGGCAAACTCAGTCATGGAGCGATATCCAGTTGAACAACTCGTAAAAGTGATCCAAATATTCTCTGAATAGGGTCGTGAGGCAAGAAGTACATTTCGCGTATTTAGTGATTTTTTCGGTCAACATAACCGTCAATCTGAGTCCACAATCAGTTTGATGCAAAAAAGGTGAAGCAACTGGGTCGATGCAAAAACTGACACACCTTCGTGCTACTGTGGAACAAAGTGTGGACCAGGCAGCGTCACGCTCAGCACAAAATACCTATGTTTTGCAAGCCTACAAAATTCAATTCATACAGGAACTGAAACAAAGAGGCCAATTGCAGCGCTGTATATTAACCAATAGGATGCTTGAAAAACCAGCAGCAAATTTAGTAAAAGTGCAAGTTTGAAGTCGCTAAAAAATTGCGTTGATTTTTGGTAATTTTTTCACGCAGTTCTTCCATACAAAGTATATTCGACAATTATTTTTTGTATGGAGAAATGAGCAACACCTTCCACTAAAAAAATTGCCAAAAATTAACGCGATTTTCTAGCAACTTTAGACTTGCATTTTTTCATACTAAAATCGAATGGACTATAAAACAGCAGTCTTAGAATTTTTCTAAAAAATCTGAATAAAAAGTTGAAAATTAGTGTGCAAATTTAATGAATTTTCCTGAGTTTTGCACAAAGGTTAGAAATTTTATTATTATGTATTCTGGTGCATATATTGCGAAAAATTCACTGTGCCAATACTTCTGTTCGGCACTGTACATATGTATGTACGTGCATTTAAATCTCTGTGCTTTATTTCAGCAAAATATTGGTAGATTTTTTTGGATTTGTTGGTTAAAAGTATAACATAACTAAAAGTTGGTAGATCTACCAATAAAGTGGTAAAGTCCGTGCACTGATGTACAGCCCCAACTATGCCAAAAAGAGATGGACAATTTTGATATGCGCATCCTGCGTTGCTCAAGGAGTCGTGGTACGGACTTTAAAGATATTGTGTTTCATACATATTATGCCATAGACTAAAAAACATGCTAAAATAAAAAGAAAACAACTTCCACAAATTTTGTTGTGTTTTATTTATAAAAGAATATCTGCGGTACTATTGAATCACCCTGCATTTATTAGTACTATAATTTAGTCCACACTTGTCGCTACATGCCAAATCTGTTGCCTAATCAATTGCATGCGCTTTAGCAACAAAAACTGGTATTGGGTCAATTGCGGTAATATCGGCCTTAATAACACCTATCGTTGGCATGGCACAAATAAACACATACATACACATGTATGTGCATACAGTGAACTAGTAAATAATTAGCCTGTTTTACATAATATTTTAATTTTAATGAGGCCCTGCAATCGTTAATTATATTATTGAAGCCGATGTGAAATTATGTGGGCTGCCAACTGGTTGGTTCACTTCGTTTTTATTTACCCGTATTTATTTTTAATTTTTCTGGTTTTACTTCTCCGAAACTAAAAGTAGATCTACTCGCATAAAGTCATTTTTAATTAATAGGAACCATTTGCGACTTTTTAAGTTGTATCCGCCCAGTTTTTGGGTGTCTTAACTGGTCACCTTGAAGACATATATAATACATAAAAAGTGGCAAAAGATCTCAGCTAGAGTACAATTTGTTGACGGCCATTTAAACTCGTTGTTTCGTGAGATATGTATGCTTCGCACTGGTTATATAATCGGCCATAATCGTCATTGTTTTCATATGCTTCACACCTTTTTATTTCATTATCCGAGTTGAAAGAATCTACCTCGTGTTTAAGATAACATGTTGTTCTTCTAATTTGGCACTAAAATCATTTGAGGGCTTGGCCAGATATTAAAAAAAAATACGCATTTGCCTCTCTCCTTTGCGAAGTTGCGCAACAGTTGTTCAAGCTACAGGCGTCTTTGTTACATATAATATAAAAATGTAAGCTGACAGTGCAAATTATGGAGAAATCCTCCGTAGGGCGCTCTAGAATGGATTGATTGTGTGCAGGTCGTACGGTCATAGTATAGCCTCCCTAAAGTCATTCAGTGACCACTTGAGCCCTATTCTGACCTACGAAAGGGTTTTTGGAGTTGCAGTAGAGGTCGACGGATGGCGTAAAGGTGGTTGTTGTATTAAAAAAGACAACAACACGATTGGTGCTAAAATGGAAAAGGCTTGAGAGATATTGTTTATTGCTCTGAACTTGGGTACAGAAAATCTTTCAATCCACCAAAACACTGCAGCTCTTCCAAGCCGATATTTTAAGTAGCAGTGAGGAAAGAAAAAGAGCAGATGTTGGAGCGAAACCCATCTGCTAAGCTTTACCTCGACTGTCTGGCAATACTTTAACAAAAAGCATCTTTCAGAACTATAGAATTAAGTAAAAGGGTCAGAGACAGGATTTTGGATTACAGGACACAAAGGATAGAAGGTAATGAAAGGTCAGCCGACTTAATTAAAAGATAACGATACAGGTAAAGGCAAATACAAATATAAAAATTCAGACAGAGAATAAAATCGAGATTAAGGAGAAGATGAATGGGAAGATGGTGAGAAAGATCACGATAAACAGAAGGATGAAGATAAAGATAAAAATGAGGATAACGAGGATAAATATAAAGACAAAGATAAAAATAAATTTAAGATGAAAATAAAAATATGGATGAAGACAAAATTAGAGAGAAAGATGTAGATGAAGATAAATAGATACAAAGACAAACTGAACATAAATTTGAAGGTAAAGAGTAAGATAAACCTGAAGATGAAGAAAAAACAATGATAAAAATTTAGATAAAGATAAAGTAGAATATATAGATAAAGGCAGAGATACAGATGAAGAAAACAACAAAGATAAAGCTAAAAATGATTATGAAGATAGTAGAGGAAGATGAAGATAATGATAAAGAGAAAGACGAATATGTAGATAAAGAAAAAAAATAACAATAAATATGAAGACAACAACAACGATAAGGAGAAAGTTGACAATAAAGATGAAGTTAAGTTTCACCTCTTCTGCGCATAGGGACTACACGCACTCAGTTTTGTTTTGGTCTATGCGAGATCTCTCACACTTGTCAGCTTTACTTGCTGCCTAGCAACCCCTGCAGAGCAAGTTAAGCGTATACATAATGTGTATATGCAAGAAGACCTGCTCAAGTTCCTTGTGTTCTCCTGGTGAGTTTTCTGATTCGCTTGCGAAAACCTCGGATTCCTTTTCTCCCTAAAACTGCTGTCACACTGCATATACAACACCTTTTACCAATGATTTCTTCGTTGCACCGCAATCACACTGGTCTAAATAGCCTGTGCACATTTTGGATCCAGCTGGAAGCCCTCACAGCCTCTGCCATATCTTGGTTTTTATGAAACTTCAAAGAGTTTCCTTAAGATATTCTCAAGCGCTTTTTTTGATAGTTACTGAAAATGACGACCTTTTTTGATAAAAATGAAACAAAATACATATTTCTTTCATTTTAATTAGACTACCTTCGTGAGTTCGTGCTTCTTTCCGCAATTGATTTTGATTTAGCGAATTGCTTGCAGCACCCTCAATTCTAAAATGCAATTAGCCAACTTACATACATACTAGTACATACTAATGTAAAAATATTTAAGGTGCAGCAGCTACAAGTTGTTTTCTTCAATTCGAGTGCACGAAAGGCCAACTAAATGCCAGAAGTGGCTGGCATTTGTTACTATATCGGCCGCACCCACAAAATGTAGCAGACAAAGAGATATTTATGCAAGTAACCAATTTATGTATGTATACGTGCACCTGTTTTAATGGCAGTGCATTGAAATGTTCGCAAAAAAAAAAAATAAAAATTAAACAATCGGCTGTATTGATATGTGTCAAACAAGTGAAGCCAACCACTGCATTGAAGACACAGTTCGAGACATTGCATGTCTTTAATGATTTATTAATTGTTCAATGTTTGTGAAGGCACTCGTAAGTTAACTCGTCTACATTTTTTGCTATCAGTTTTTGCAAATGCTAAATCTATGCATGTATTACATATACATATATATTTTTTTCATAACAATTGCAAGTGCTTCAACACAAATGTCAATATGCATTGTAGTATGTTTGTACGTACTAGTTAGTGGTACATGTTTGACTGCGTTTAGCCTTAAGTTGTCAACCTTGATTGTGCTATTTGTCGTTTATTTTTATTTTTATAAGCAATCATGATGGACATCTATAATAATAAACCAGTTTGCGTATAATTATTGGAATTTTTATTCTTTTAGAATGATTTAAATAAACAAGTTTGATTGGCAAAAAAGAACTGATATACATATTTGTGGCACTAATTACGGCTTATAAAGTGGAATAATTGATTTATGCAGAAAACATATTGAGATTTTATAAAAAGAATGATATTTATTGCAGATAAATGAAAGGCATCATTATATGCTCTGCAGTTCTGATCCCAAATTTCCTAATCTGGCGCGGAAACTGTTGGGAGATAATTAGTGTCCCATGACTTTTCTTTCTTCTTATTCGTCACTTTTGTCAATGAAAATTAAAAAAAAAATATTAAATACATTTCGTAACCAGAAATGCAAAAGGACGCAATAACATCGTGAATGAAATGGAAAAAGCCATGACTAATATTTTAATTATATATTTTTTTCATAAAATGATGTGGGGAGTTGTAATTCGATGAAATCCATCAAATAAATCAAAATTTGAATTTTGAATTTTATATTAGTTATGACTTTTTACATTTCAACGATGGTGTTTGTTACGTCTTTTTGCGTTTCAGGTCACGACTTGTATTTGAACTAAATCTTTAACTGACCTAAGAGTTCGGCAGTAATGTTAAAACGATCTATAGTAGGTTAGGTAGAACCGCTGCTAGCTGCAGTTTCGCTCTCAAATTTTGTTAACTATCAAGATTCTGTTGGGGAAAATTTATATTTAAAAGGATTCTCTTATTAGACAAGTTAATGTTTCTTTTTGGATAGTATTTTAGTAGTTGGAAAGGGTTTTAAAGAATTTAAATATATAAAATGTTAAAAAAAATTTAAAGTAAATAAATTGCAATGTGTACCCAATATAATTTTTAAATAAAATCTGAAATAAAAATGATCTGAAAAAACACTTATAAAAGGAATAAAATAATTCATAATTCTTTAATTTTTTAATTAAAGTTTAAAAATTAAAATATATGAAATTTTGAAAAAAAAATTAAAATAACTGAATAGTTTTTAAGCTACAAAATATGTAAACTTCCTAAATTCGTAAATTTTCAAATTAAAACTTTTTTAATAAGAAGTAAATCGAAATTTTACTGATTTAAGAGAAATAACTTGAAATAAAGCCCCCAAAAAAATATATATATATAAAAAATTCTAATTAATTAAGTTTGATATATTCAAGTTCGAAAATTTTAAAATTTAGTCAGCTTTAGAACACTAATGCCCGGTTTCATCAATTAATTTTAAAATTTATCAGGCTGTCAAAGCTTAAAATAGTTATATTTCCTAACAAAATTGTATTATTTTAAACTTTCAACAGTCTGATCATCAGACAAATATTCCAAAAAAATTGTGTCATTTGAAATTTTAACAGGCTAATAAATTTAAATTTGATTGGTCAATTTGAAAAATTGATTCTTTTTTAATATTAAAATTTTTAAAATCAAAAATTAAAGAATTTAAAAGCTTCTAATACGTAAGAATGTAATAAAGTTTGATAAATTAAAAAGTTTAAAACTTAATAAAACTTCGAAACTTTAAAATTGTAAAATCCTAAATTTTTTCAAATGTCAATTATTGACAACTAAATTTTAAATTAAAGAATTTAATAGCTTCGAAAACGCAATAATTTTATATAAATAAAAACTTTTTAAAAATTCATGATTTGCAAAGCCAAATTAAATGAATCAAATTTAAATCCAAGAAATTTAAAGTAATTCTTTTGGAAATACTTATGAACGAAAAAATTACTTAACAGACAGCTTTTTGTAGCTTTTGCTATTGAAATACCCCGAATTTAAGATAAATCTCATTGTGAAATTTTAAAATTGCATTACGTAATTGCATGAAAATGAACTTATTACTGTTTTTAACAATTAACGGTAAATGTGTACAAAAGCAATTTAGCGTTGAATACCACTATTGACCGCAAAACCATTTCCGGTTAAAGTCGTGGAAAATAGATATTAAGAAATTAGCAAACTATGCACGCATGCACGACTTTTATACCTACACGTAAGTAAAAACCACAAATTTCGCAGAAAAATTCCTCAAAACAATTTTTTTTTTTGAAAAAAAGCACTTTTTCGTTACATTTTGTTACTTTTATTGACAAAGACGTTCACATTTCTGGCAAGACACTTCTTGAAAATAACATACTTTGAATAAAAAAAGGTACTAAACTTTTTCAAATCTTTGAAAAATCTTTAAACCATCGATTGTTGTTTTAAACAAACACTTTTTTGAAAAAATAACTTTTTAATTAAACTCAGCTGCGAAATTTTCATTAACATTTTTTTTAATAATTTTATTTCCCTTAATTCATTCTTGAATTTCTTACTCACCCAGCGCACAGCACAGCAGAAATATAGAGAAAATTGGCAACACACGCGCCATATTGCGTATGTGCTTCCACTAAAACTAAACTGAAAATTTGTAGAAATAAATTTGATTAGCTTATTTATTGTAGTAAAATTTAACATTTTATCAAAATTAAAAAAAAAAAAACTGCAATTTACTTTAACAAAATTTGGTTTATTTCTTCAACGGACAGCTCTCGAGGTTTTCACTCGATACACAGCCACGCTTACACTAGGTGTTGGCCACTGCCAACAAGTTCTATTTATTAAGATGGCCAAAACGATGGGGCAGTGTGGTGAATTTCTTGTTTTTATGCAACTTGTCTTAAGGGAAATACACATATGCGCGAGACCACTTTTGGCTCGAAGGGGAAAGCGAGCAAGTGAGCTCCGGCAGGAGAGAGCAAAGGCGAGAGACGGAGCTAAAGAGTAGGAGAAGAAACTGAGCAAGAGTGGTGGCGAGAGTGGGGTAGCGCACGAAAAAGTAAGCAAAACCTTTAAAAGTTGGAATTTGCAGAGCGCATAAGTGGCTTACCTTGGTTTGAAGATGGTGAAGCTTGAAAGCGTAGGGAATGGCATGTTTTTTTTTTGGAAAAAACGTAACCTTATATTGTAAAAAAAAAAATATAAAATTTGACGAGAAAGATCGGAACTTTTATTTTATAAATCGTTAGTTTGGGCTTTCACTATTCGGCGCAGCGTTTTTTTTTTTTTTTGATTTTGTTCAGACACTCTCAACTTATATGCCCCATACCACAATTTCCCCACTCAGCGCACAAATACAAGATTATTTTCTGCACTACATGCACACATACACATGTATGTATAATGTACTTACTTCGCTAAAAACCGATTCCGCACACTCTTCGCTTGAATTTGCATTTGTATTCAAGTTTTTTTTTTTGTCTTTCAAGTCGAAGTTGTAAACAAGTTTATTTATATTTTTGCAAAGTATTACGCAGCACTTAAAATAACCAATCTTGCAGTACTTACCATAAAAAACCATGAAACCATCTATCAATGCTGCTGCGCTTTTACGCTCTTTCCCGCTCGCAGTCGCTTTTTATTCACCACACTAAACGAAAGTGGAGAAAAATCTATAGCGCAAGTTTGTTTCTTGCGTTAAGTCTTTTGTGGAACTTAAGTTCGCGCACTGCAGACTGTTGGATTTGTAAATAAATGAAAAAATGTATATTAAAACTGTGGTAAAAAAAAATCACTCTCTCGTTTGTTTATAAATAAGTAAGTAAATGCCAAGCCAACAGCTTACAGGTGAAATGTCAGGGGTGCATAAGTCGTTTCTGCATTTACATACATACATTCGTTTTCTTTTTACAGATATAATCGCTTCAAAGTTTTGAGTGTTTTTTTTCTTTTGTAATTTGAAGAAATTAAATAAAACACCAAGAATGTGTAATTACTACGCTGGTGGCAATGCCGCCATGCGCCTTTTTCTTTATTCACGGAATTCGACGTAGGTGCGAGCTTCGTACTTCTTTTGTTCAATTTGTCGCGCTACTTTGTATTCGATTTCTTTGATTTGTTTACTTTCAAAATGTTATTTGATACGGTCTCCTACTCAATACCTTTATTTTTCAAACATATGTATATCTGTATGTATGTATGTATTTGTGGAAATTTCCTTTGCAATCATGCAGCATATCGAGCTCTAACTACCAAAAATACGCGAGTGATTTTTTTTTATATTTTTGTTTTTTTTTTATTTTCATCAGATATTCTCCCAGAGTATCTAAATGATTTTCTGCGTAAAAGGGAAATTTTGAAAAAAATTTCACTAACGTTTTTTTTTTGGCGGTTAAGGCTCGTTATTGCAATATACTTGCAATGAATAATTAAAAGAATAATATTTTGCCAAAAAAAATCTCTGACTCTGAGAAATGCATACTAGCTTCCTTTATTTTTAGTTTGTGTTATAAAAAGTCAAACAAGTTTTAAATAATTTTTTAAAATATTTTTATATAAAAGTATCAGCAATATATAAAACAGGGATTCGTATTTGAAGAGCTTGCTGCATTTCTAGACATCCAGGGTACTTTCAACCATATCACAGCTACGGAAGTCACATCAGCTCAAACCAATCTGGGCATAGATTTCCAGCTAGCTTCACTCGCACGCTAGGTGATGGTAGGTTGGGTCGTGCAAGCGGAATTAGCAGCAGCTTCGCTTTATATATAGTTTGCAGGGGAGCCCCGCGGAGTGGGGTTCTGGCCCCTTTTTATGGATTATACGGCAATTAATGAATTGCTGTAACCACTGGACGAGCTCCACCTCTACACTAATAGCTCAAACCTAGAGAATAGGGTAGGGAGTGAGGTTTTTTAGCCTAGTTGGGGCTGGAAAAATCATTTCCCCTACCCGACCCATGCAGCGGCTCAAGCTGAACTTTACTATCTTTATCTACTTAGACAATCAGGCGGCACGCAAAGCGCTTAGCTTGGTCACATGCAATTTAAGAACCATAGCGGACTGCCGCAGATCTCTAAATGAGATGGCAAAGCAGTCTACTATACCCTTTGTATGGCTGGTGGGTCACCGGAACATACCAGACAACGCGAAGACGGACCACTTTTGCAGTCCTGGAAGGGTTGAGGCAAGCTCATTCCAATGGACCTATCTCGTTAACAAGCAAGTGATAGGTGAGCTAGTCTCACCACTTGCAGCAATACAAAACTTATGTGGCTGAAATGGAACAAGAAACGGTCGAAAGGCTCCTCATGCTGGACAGAGAGGACTTGATGTCATCGGAAGGCGCGCGGAGAGGTTAGGGGTACCCTATAACGACTTCTGCAGAAATTAAGAAGAGCTAGAAACTTTGTAGAAGCAGACGAAAGTTTATGGATTTAGAAATTTTTGAGAGTTTAACGGACATAGCCAAAGTAGGAATACGGCAATTTCCAGGTTTCGCAGACTCTACACGATGGTCACAAAACGGTACTACGACTAAGGGCCGGGGTGTGCTAATGGGGTTACTAGCGGCCGCCTCAACTTAATCTAACCTAGCATAGGGCTAAAAATAACTCATGGAAGATTAAGACATTTCAGAAAAATCTAAGGCCAATCGTTTATAATAAGCTCTGTCACCCCAATGCATGAATAACGAAAAACCAAGTACAAACTGGAATTAAGATGTCCAGACTTGAATACATGTAGAAGTCGCAATCAATAATACCCGCTCAAGAACCGTCTTTAAATCTCCACTCTAAGAAGGACTCTTATTAAATATGGAAGAATTCATTGGACTCCTATTCGGTATGAGATCTCCACTGTCGCAATTCGAAGGCTATTTCGTCGAGCTGGCAAACAGAAGAAGGGCAATAGAACTAAATTTTGGTCCAGACGAGAATTTTCTCTGTTCATGTCTGGCGATTTAGAGGAAAATTTGAATAGTTATCTTCCATTTTGGGGGGTAAATGTCAGCCACAAGGATCTGGATGAAAGCAGTCACTACAACCTAACTTAACCAACACTGAGTTTGAGCTTCCTAACTGCAGAATAAACCAATGAAATTTCGTCGTGATGAATTCCGAACTACTCCAACGAATTGCAAGACGTAGACGGTAGACCTATCCATACAGTTCCCCATAAGTGTGCGTACAGACGTATACACTCCGAAGTAAGTACCGTAGTCTATGCACACATAAACGCATGACTACCCAGTACAATGATTACTACTTCTGCGGCAAGCAATCAACAATGACCGTGAAATTATAAATTACTACTTACTAGCTACTACTTTTTAAAATACCCACCTTTAAATTCTGCTTCAAGTAAACAGTTTGTATTTTTCTGTGTAATAACAGAATGGCTGTTTATCCGCAATTAAGTTGCGTTGTGCTAATCTGCGCCGAGCTCTGTCTGCTGGGCTGGATTGGGCCGGGCTCAATACCCTGTAATCACGCACTGCTTAAAGCTGCGCCTGAAGATCAAAGAGTTTGAACGATGGTCGCTGCGACGCATGGCTGTTGAGAAAGGCGACAATATTTTAGAGTTTTTTTTTTTAAGATAATTTTTTCGAGCTTCTTATATGTTTATACATTTGTAAGTTAAGCGTCGTCCGCACATTAAAGATGAAACTACACACATACGAGCGTATGAAATTCAATTAAATCTGCCGCTAACCGCACCTGCAACGCATTACAAGTAACATTTAATTGAAATCGGTATCGCGATTACTCTCTAACTGCTTTATTTTGTTCTTGCCTTTTGTAGTTCACTTTGAATACTAAATTTGTAGTTCTTTAGTTTTGCTGTTCTTCTGTGTTTATGATTGAATGTGGTGATAAAAATGTAAAGACTGGTGCTGCATAAATATATATCTTACTCAATTATGTGTAGAATATAGAAAAGTTGAAAAGATCATGGTGAATCCATTGCTCAAGTACGAGAGAAACTTTGAATGAGCTCGTGGTACATACATCGTACGAAACTTTGTATATACTTACTAGCCGATTGTTCCCTTTGTAAATCTTACGCACTACGGGAGATGTAAGTGGTTTTTCGTTATCAAAGTCTGATTCTACTGAAAAATGAGCCTAGCATTTTCACATTGACGGCATTCGCTTTCAGTATAGTTTTCCAAGTATTTTAAGCCCATTTTCAATAAGCGCTGTGAATACGGGCGCTGAGCATGTCGTGTTGAAAAGAGTGATTTCTGTATTCGGGAAGTAATTCTTCCGTTCTTAAGGCAGTACGCAGTTCTTAAGAAATCTGCTACGCTTTCTACTAGGGTTTTCTAAAGTTTTTTGTGGAAAAAAATAGCACAAGACAACACATGTTTGCAACCGAAATATATGCCCGTTCCATTACTTCTTGAGGAAAGAGTAAGGCAACAGCCTGTGAAATATCAGGTGTCAAATCTGCGGTCTTATTGAACCACCTTATCTTTTTTCGCGCAGAATATGCTTCGTTATCTCATCGTTCTCAATTCAGACAGCCCTATCTGGTGCGTATGAGAACGTAAAAAGTTATGACCGGGCTTATAAACCTTAAATAGCCAAAGGGACTGGCTGTCTAAAGCCCCTACTCCTAGCGTATATTTCCAGCGTTTAGAGTTGACATACCAGTAAATCAAAAGTCTCAAATATAAACAGCCAACTACATAAAGAGCATCTAAGACCCTTCACGCGCCAGCTCTTAAGAGACTTGATTACGTTGAATCCCTCAGTGGCATTGCACTCTGCACAGTGTTATCATGTTTATCAAGGTAGTGGAAGGCCCAAATGGCTTCATGTATTAATTTGTAAAGCACAAGCCTAGAACTCAGCCTGAAACATAACGGGCCACGCAACCATTGCATTTAAAAGTTTAATGCCCGGTCTATAAATAGGTACGCACACCCGTTCGTAAACTTTTAGAGCTAGAAAGCCTTTCCTTTTACTAGAAAATCTTTCGACCTTCGGGATTTTTGGTAAAAATATCTGTATGATGCTGAAGACCACCATGAGATACTTGCGACCTACTGCTGACTGATTATATGAGTGGCTTGTGCCGATGACAAAAACAAAAACCGCGAAGTCTTCTGTCTTTTCCAAATTGGATAGGGAAGCAAAGCGAATGGGTCTGGAGGTAAACGAGGACAAGACGAAGTATCTCCTGCCATCAAACAAACAGTCAGCACATTCGCGCCTTGGCACCCACGCCACTGTTGACAGTTACAATTTCGGGAAAGAAGAGAATTTNCCTATTGGCGTCAGTTGGCACAGATGAGAAATGACTGGCGTGCTTTGCTGAACTCGGCCAAAATCGCTTAGGCGATTACAGCGCCAAAAAAAGANAATGGTGGTAGCAGAAGAAGAGGGAGGCCCCCACTGCGATGGAAAGATCAGGTGGAGAAGGACTTGGGTTCGCTTGGCGTTTCCTATTGGCGTCAGTTGGCACAGATGAGAAATGACTGGCGTGCTTTGCTGAACTCGGCCAAAATCGCTTAGGCGATTACAGCGCCAAAAAAAGAAAAAACTTGTAAGTAGAACTGATTTTGAATTATTTTCTGAATAAATCTTTACAAGCTTTGTTTTTTGCAGTAGCTGCTTCAAAAAATATTTATTCTTTGAACACAGACGACTTAAATATGATGCAAACCAAGCGTACGCGCATTTTTTGGATTCTTGNGAAAAAACTTGTAAGTAGAACTGATTTTGAATTATTTTCTGAATAAATCTTTACAAGCTTTGTTTTTTGCAGTAGCTGCTTCAAAAAATATTTATTCTTTGAACACAGACGACTTAAATATGATGCAAACCAAGCGTACGCGCATTTTTTGGATTCTTGGCTCATTTTGTAAACACTTGAGGTTAAGAGGCTTATTGCAGTGTTTGCAATTGCACATTAAAAGCCAAATCGGGAAGAGCTGATCTAATGCAACACGCACGCTCGCAAAAGCATCAAAAAAGCTGTAGCAGCATAAAAAGTCAGAAAAAAGTCGCCGACTTTTTTAACCTTCATTGAAAATGTAATGAAGGCAAAAAAAGACCTGAAATATTGCTATGTTCCTTCTTAGCAGAACGTAATTTAGCATTTTCGAAAACCGACCACCTAACCAAATGTCTATAAGAAAAAAGAAAAAATTATTAAAAATCAACGCGATTTTTTAGCAACTTATAACTTGCCCATTATTATCCTGGAATTTAATGGGCTATCAAGCTGAACACTCAAAAAAATTCTTAAAAATTTGAATAAAATGTTGAAAATTCAGCTGAAACTCTTCACATTTTTTTAATAATTTTTGGACAAAGTTTGAAATGCGGATTTATATTTTGTTTGTTATATAATGAGCTAAGCTTTTATATAAAAATAATAAACATCAATTAAACAAAAGAAAAACAGCCACAATCGATCAAAATGTTGATGACTGAATCAGCTGAACGATCTCAAACCAGTTTACAATGAACTGTAAATGTGCTCTGTCGAAATGACATTTTAATATACCTTACATACATACTTATGTACCTTTGAATACAATAAAAGTTTAATAAGAACAATTCTGTTTTTGGGTAGACCAAGAGGGACGTTTTCTCATGCCGAAGACCTGGCAACACTGTTCCTACCTCCTCTACTCCCCTAACGCGATCACTACTCTAAACCTGGCCTCCCGCTCTCCCTCAGCTAAACACTTGGAAATGGAATTTTGGGATCACAAATTTGATTGTATTAATAAATAAGTATACATATATGGATTGAAAATGCATCAAACTGTCATTCAGTATTCCTTAAAAGCACAAAGTAAATGCATGCAACATACTTATAAACACTACAGAGCTGATATGCACTTTGACACTTTATCCATTTTTAGCCGGAAAAAATCTGGGCTGCTACGGGCAGGACGAATATGACACTTACCATTAAAACAATTTAAATACGAGTAAAAGAATGAATGAATACGGCGCAATGTGTTTCTATATTTCCCTGAATTCATAAATCCAAATTATATTTCACAGATTGTTTTGAGTCTTGGCACTTTTTACTGCTGTACATTCCTCTTGAGTTATTACTAAAAAATTTTGTATTTCGTGATTTCTTTTCTCATCAACCGAAAACTTTAACGTTATTCATTCAAGTAGTTTCTACACATTTCCTGATCAAATGTCGCTACTCGCGTCCATAGACGCCTTCAAGTCACGATCAATATCCAACAATATGTACATACCATATATACATATGTACGTTTTTAAAAACTTACATGCAAAGCATAAGAGGTTGCAGGAAAAAATGCAAATAAAAAGTAAAAAAACTTATTGCTATGCAGAAGGTGAACTACTCTTAAGCAGCAAAAAGCAATAACAAATGAAATGAATTGAAAAAAAAACACACCAGTAAAAAAAACAGAGACATGCCAGCTACAACAGCTGCCTGCCACCCGCAATCGCTGCTAAATACAACTGCGACAACTTCCAACCTTTGCGACATTCGACTAAGGCACGGTGCACATTAGAGCGATACGATATGCAATGCGATACGCGATGCGACATGCGATGCGTCACGCGATGCCGTTTTGTGATAGCTACACAAATTTTTGTGGTATTATAAGTTTGTTAATGAGTTAAATGAGTTGCTTCCCAACCGAGTTTAGACCTTTCAAACAGGGTTCGTATTTGCACACACATGCGCAGCACATCCTAACATTTTACGCTCACACACGTGTGCTGTGCATATAAAAAATTAAAAACTTGCTCACATCACATGTGTGTGCCGTTTGGTAAAAAGCACGGGCACATGTGTGTACTTTATTTTTATTAATATAAAGCACACGCACATGTGTGTGCTTTGCGTAGAGAAACTTATACACTTCGATTTCTATCTCAAATCTTAAAATAATTTTTTAATATGTTTTCTGTCATATAAAAAAACAAACAACCTCTCACTTTTTATTGAATTGTCTTTCAAAAAATAACGTTTAATAAACAAATTCTTTTAAAAATATATTATGTGCATGTGCATGGGCTGAAATTTGTACAAAAATCGGCTCACACTCATGTGCATGTGCTTAATAACAAACAGCACACACTTTTCTGTGAGCAGAGTTTGTTTCCCACTTATGCACACACATGTGTATGAGCAGTGAGTACAAATTGAATGTGTTTCTGGCGTGTGTGTGAGCAGAGCATGTGTGTGCAAATACGAACCCTGCTTTCAAATGATGGGTCTATGTTTATAGCTATAAACTTTTAAAAAATTTAAGAGAAAAGTATGTTTAATATCGAGTAAAACTGATGTTTATTTTTACAAAGTCGGCTAAAAATTAAATGAGATATTAAAATTTTCATGCCAATTATTTCAGAATATTGCGTTCACTACAAGGAGAAATCGATGAAAGCTGAATTAAAAAGAAAGGTTAAGTAAAAATTTTTGATGTATTATGGAACGAATTTCCATCATCCCTTGTCAAATTTGGTTTGGAGACAAACCGGTTTCGGCGTTGTGCCATCTTCAGTGTCATTTTTCGTTCTGCATAATTTTTGTTGGTTGCTCGTATTTATACTCCTTGTTAACTACCTACTTTCTTTTGTTAGGTACGTCTTT